CATGGCTTCCCGAAACCCGCGGGCAAAGGTAAGCGCCTTCGCCGAGACGTTTCCCCCGTCGAGGTGGTGGGGAAAGTTTTGCGGGGTGTAGAGAGAGGAAAGTAAAAAACTTTTCCTTCCACTTGGCTAAAAGCAACGCGATCCTAAAGAAACAACATTCCCGGCGCAAGGTGCTGGATCGCTGAAGTTGCTATCTAATATTGAAGTGAAGAGAGGGGTGCTGGTAGAGGGAAAAGCTCTGAATGTTTTCAGTCTTTCCCAAGCGATGTTTTCATCCGTTCTGCAGCACTTTCTGCACAAGTCTCGCTCGCTCGCTCGCTCCCTGTCTCCCCTGGTATTCTGGATGGGAGAGATTTTTAATCTCTTGGTTGTGCCAATCCGATTACTGCTATTTTAGTCAATCTCTTACAGCATTTCCCCCCCTAATTTGTTCATGAGTTTTCTCATCAGAAAGGGGTTACTGAGTCTACATCTGTCTTTCTATTATTACATCTTTTACAGAACCTCTCCCTCTGCCCCAAACAAGCATGCTTTGTTTAAATGTTTGACTTTTTTATTGTATTCTCCTTCTTCTAGGAACACTGACTTTTTTTACAAGAACTAGCCGTTGGCATCATATTTAAGACACCATGTTTTATGGGAGAAAACTATAAATTAAGAAAAAATGTGCTGCCTCTTTGTAGTCGCATGCACCGTATAACTGAGTATATATGTGTGTGTGTGTTTATTCTAGATAAAGCTATACACAACAGACAATTAAGTGTGGAAAGACCTTTGGAGGAACAGGTAAGTGAAATAAAAAATAATTACAATGGTTTTTGGGTTTGGTATTCTCATAATGTTTCGAGCCTTCAGGTACCAGATCCATGAATATCCTAATGGCTTAACGAGTGAGTTAAAAGCAGATTTGTCAGTACAGTAAATACTGATGGGGTTGGGTACCAAATAGAGTTTCGATAATTTTTAAGAACTAGCATTCCAAAAGCAGGTCTTTAGCTCCAACAGCTCACAGGTGTGTAACCCCTTTGTATCGACATCCTACGGGAATATGGCGGGCGCTTGGACTGAAGAAGGAAAATGTAACTGGCATTTGTCTTAAAATGGAAAGTCTATTGCAGCTTCTTGTGATGTCTGATTCTGATAAGAGGATGCGGTGGTACTGACAAAAAGTGCCAAGCACTTAATCAAGTTCTACTTATTAAGGGAAACTCCTCACTAGGAGTGAAGATCGGGCATTAAGGCTTCTGCTGATATTGATAAATTAAGAGATCCCACATTTTAGTATATTTATTCCTTCTGCCTGTTTGTTGTTTTGTTTGTTTGTTTGTTTTATTTTTGTGTCTCAGATTGCTGAAGCTGAGGCAGACAAGAATAGGAAAATAGTTCCTACAGGTAAAACATCTTTCCTGGTTTTATAGCGATATTCATAATGGTATTCAAGGTATAAGACTTTATGTCATGTGTGCATTGATATATTTTCCAGAAAATAAGCCAGAGTTCAGGAATTATTCCCTTGTTGATGACCTGAACCTGCTAAAAGCAGTAGCAGAAAGAGAGAGGAATGAAAAGGAGAGGGAGTCAATTAGAAGCTCTTTGTATGAACAGCAACTGGCCATTGATGATGCAGACTCCACCAAGAACCGCAGGCTCGTGGATGACTATGACTCCACTAAAAGTGGACTGGATTATAAATTCCAAGGTATTCTATAATCACCTTTCAGTGACTTTTAGGTTAGACTTCCCTTGCAAACTGATTGCAATCATGAATGTTGTACTCACCGCTAAACATGAGCTCTATTTGTTACTGGAGTGCAGTTTCAATTACTTCCAGTTGTAGGAGCTTGCCGTATTACAATTAGGTTTTGAAACGCAGTACAAAAGAATTGCTGTTGATTTTCACAGTCTTCTCCCGTGGAGGAAAACCCAACTGTGTAATTTGCATTATGTTTTTTAGCAATTTAGATTTAAGGGAAGGAAAATGGGACATATTTTTAAATGAAAATATATTTATTCTGGTTTGAAAGGAAGCAGCACTTTTTATATAGAGCTAAAACAAATACATTTGTTTCAGATGTTATGTGCCATGTTAGATAATTCTCATCACAATGCTAAAAGAAGTTACCGAAGGCCAAAGAATACTTGCCTTTACTACAGGAGTAGTTAATTGACTTGTAGTTGAAGTGAGTCCTCTGAGAGCTGTGAGCAGCATTTAGCTCAGGATATTTTTAATTATGTCAAAGTATGCTGATCACAGACCAAAGCTTACTCATCATATTCACTTTCCCATTGGTCTGCTGATGTTATTTGCCATAAGAAATGATTACATAATTAAAACTTCATTTGCTGAAATCCAAACAAGAAGATAGTATGCTGTTTGTCGTGATCTGTTTTGATCTAAGTGGCCATACAATGAAAGTAGATACCAGGAAGATGTGTGTAAGCGGATACGTGAGCAGTGTTCTCTCATTCTTACAAATCTTTCTATAAAGAGGAGAGTTTGCTTCTGACATTCATCTCTGCTCTTTGAAAAGAGGCAGTCAGAAAGACATATTTCAGATGTGGAAAATGGACACGAAGAACTTTTCACTGGGACTGATGTAATGGATTCCAAAGTGTGTATCACAGTATATTCCTCATGTGTCTAAAAAGTGCAGCTTTGTTCTGGAGAGAAAAAGATGTGGGTAGATATTTTTTACAAGATGTCTAATCCAAATGAGCTAGGACAGTCAGCACACAGATAAACTGTAATCCTTTTAGATGATCCAGATGGCCTCCATCAATTAGATGGCACTCCTTTGACTGCTGAAGACATCGTTCAAAAAATTGCCGCAAGAATTTATGAGGAAAATGATAGAGGAGTGTTTGACAAGATCGTTTCAAAGCTTCTAAATCTGGGGCTAGTAAGTATCTTGTTAATAGTTCGTTTAGCTGTTTTGTGGGTTGATTTGACGCTCCTTTAAAAAACAATGCGGATGAACACTGTGTCCAGCTAATAATGCTGACTTGAGCGAAAATGAATGGGCTTCAGGCTCTAGGCAAGCTTCTCGACTCATTTGGGCACATTGGCTTAGTTCTGCAGTAACGTCATTGTTCCTGTGATGGCTTTGCAACAAAATAGGCCAAACTGCTGAATGTTTCTGATATTGAGAAAACATTCACTGACTGTGCATCTCCCATGCCTGCCCTCGTTTTTCCTTTAATTTCTCTTCTGATTCTCACTGGGTTCTTTTGTATTACCAATTCCTTTTGGATGTTTATGGGGAAAGGTCTGAGCTCGTTCCTATCCACCTCGTAATTATTGTCATCAGCGGACATATAATGATGCTGGTTACTTGAGGATACATTTCTCATTGTTACTGATTTTTAGCAAGACTGGGTTTGTCTCTGACCTCTGGATGTCTCAATGGTTTTAGCCATTGCAATATGGGATCCTTATATTTTAAAATACTAACCTTACCTTTTCTGCACTAGATTTTGCAATTAGCTATTGCATGCTGAATCCCACTGATTACAAAGGGAGCTGCGGGACAGCTGCATGGTAGAGTTCTCGTTCAAGTGACAGCTGTTACGAAGCAAAGAGAAAACATTTTGAAGATGCCATAGAAAGCTATTGGCTTTTTCCCTTTCTGTATTACTGTGTTCTGTTGCAGTTATTCAATTGTACATATAGGTATGTTGCAGAGCATAGACACGCACACAAATATACACGTATAGGTATACCGCACTTGCAGCTCCATCTTTCAAGCTGGACTCCATTGTGTTAAGCCCTACATGGGTTTGTTTTCCTGTTGGAGGCTATATGTGTGGGTGGATGTTCTCTATGTATACACACATATTTGATGTGTGTTTGTATGTGTGTATATATACATTTATCTACATGTAGACGTATATACGTCTATACGTATACACACACACACATCAGTGAAGGTATTACACCTAATTTGGCTGTGCTAGGCTTTGAAGCAAACATATTTGAAGCAACCTTTTTACAAAGCTCAGGTTTCGTATTGATGTGTAATCTAGGAAAAACACCGTATTCCATAAGTACTCTGCACAAATATTTTAACAGATCACAGAGAGTCAGGCCTACACCCTGGAAGATGAAGTGGCAGAGGTTTTACAACAGCTAATTGCAAATGAAGCAAAGGATCGTGAGAAGGAGTCTGAAGATTTTGATTACCCTCCCAGCAGAGCAGACAGTGATACAAAGAAAAGCCAACAGGAAA